ATGGGTGTTGGAGATTTGTCACAGCAACTAAGAAAGTGACCAAGACAACACAAAGCCAAAGATAGAGTTCTGCATCAAAGCTCTAGAGAATGCTCCTCAGTTGGAAACTTATTAATCAACAACCTAGTTAATATTTTCAATAAACAATACTACTACCTAGCTGTTTTGTCTAGCTCACACCTCTGAATCTTTTTTTTTTGGTACTGGGGATCGAACTTGGGTCCTTGTGTTTGCACAGCAGGTGGTGAAACCACTGAGCTAAATCCTCGGCCCCACACCTCTGAATCTTAGTATGTGAGTGACTAAGAATTCCTCAAGTCCTCATTAGAGTTACTATTCTTATTTATTTATGTAGCATGTAATTAATATGAATTTTACTTACTTAGCTTTAGATTATCAGTCTTTTCTATGCTCCAAAATCATCTGCTTACTAATATGTTCTGGAGATTTACCATTTATGTGCATTATATGTTGTTAATAATACTCAGAATACATTTAAAAATATTGACATATTTGTCTTTCCCCTACTCTTAGCGTTGAAAGTCATTTCATAATATTGTCTGCCATCTTATTAGAATTTTGGTTCTTTAGGGACCTGAAATAATTTAAGGTATATGTCCATGGTATAGTTAAGCTATATGTCCATGGTATAGTTAAGTACTTTGAGTTTACAGTTAAGTGAAACAAAAGTCATACTGCAGGATAGTTGCATAATAGAATTATAATTGTATACATAAATATGTGTGCATATCTAATTTTGTATTGGCCAGTGTTATTCTTAGCTTTCTCTCTGCCCCTTGCTGGCTTCTGATTTCCTCACAGTGTTTGTATTCCCTAATGCTCCAACAGGGGATGTGTAAGCAGCGGTCTGGGAGTTCCTTGAATTAGTGATATAGACATGGCAGAGGGGGGCTGGGGATTTAGCTCTGTGGTTTCGATACCTGCTGCATAAGCTCAAGGACCTGAGTTCGATCCCTGGAACCAAAAAAACCCCCCAAAAAAACCAAAACCAAAAAACCCCCCAGAAGTGGCAGAGGGATGGGGGAAAGAGAAAGAGTATTATCTGACAGTGAGGAAGAGATTTTTCAACATATCTTTCCCAGAAATTAACAAAGTGCCCTTATTTGTATTGAACACTGATGGAAAAGAAAGGGAGGACTTTAAGAAATACGGTTGTGAACTACATATCCTTGTCATGCTGAAGAAAAAGAACTTGATATTTGCATTTGATTGCTGGAATTTTTTCCTTTAAGGATCTCTGTACTAAGCCTGGACTATTGACTCTTGGCGGGGTGGGGGATAACAAGAATCAGAGAGAATTTATATTTCTATAAACTATATAAAACCTGGGAATACTGTCCTCAAAGTTAACAGAAATACTGCTGAAGAGTAGGCTTGGGGAAAGGGCACTAAATTTTAATTGTCTTTAGCTGTTGATCTGATGTATTTTGACAGAAATTTATTTATTTAGAATGAATAATGGAGCAAATAATTATGTGCATTATTTAGAATAAGAAATAGAAAAGTAGCTAGGCACTCTTTTTTACAGATTATTTGGGTAAATCTATATGCAGTGATATACACTAATTTCAGCTCCACACAACCCTGGCCCCTGACAAGTGCACGTCACCAACATAAACACAAATCCATCGAGACGGCGCTTTTCCATCACTGTAGAAAATTGCCTCCCCTGGGTGTTCACTTCCTATCTCCTTTTCTGGCTGTAATTGAATTCCTTCTTAATGAAACTCATTTTGCTCTTCTGATTCATGATAATCTATGTTTCCCAAGGCCACATCAACCTGAGCTAAAAATAGGAAGCCTGAAACCTAACACAGCAGTGTTTCTTTGGACCCTTTGTGGTCATTGTAGGTGAATATTAATCCATTTCAAATTCACCTGACATTTAGTAATATGACTAAAGACAAAATCACTACAAGTCACACTTATATGTAATAATCTACTAGAAGACACAATGGAAATAGAAGATCCTATTTGTGAAAGAAAAAAAGAAATGAGTAGAAATAGAATATGTAGGAATTAACTTAGTAATGTTCAAAAGTGATATGAGGAAAACTTTGGGGCACCCTGCACAAAATCACCCTTGCACAAATGGAAAGACATGTCATGTTCTTGGCTAGAAAGACTGAATAGCCTAACAAGAACACCTTCCCCAAGTTCATTATAAATTTAACACTATCCAAATAAAAGTAGGAACAATTTTTTCAAGAATTGTACAGCTGATTAAAATTTTACTTAGAAGAACACCAGGAAAGAATAGATAGGAAAACCCTCAAAAAAGAGAAATGAATGGAATTTTCAGTCCCTTGTAGATATTAATCCAAATGGATCAGAGATGTAAATTTTAAAAAATGAACTCATAATAGCACTTGAAAAGATAAAGGGAATCCATCCATAATTTTTCAGTACACTTTCCTGACAAAGATTAAGAATCTTGGATCAAGAGCATTAATTTGTACAAAAATAAAATGAATATGTTAATTAAAAAAGAAAATTGAAATGAAAAAATATAAACTGGGAAAAGTATTGCAAATTATATCACACAGGGTTAATGTCTCTAATATACAGTTTCTAAAATAAAGTGAAAAATACAGGTAATCTTATAGAAGAATGATCAGAAATTAATAAATAAAAGTAACAATGAAATGCTAATTTCTCCTAATAAATAAAAATGTGCAATCTCATGGATAAGAGAAATGGCAACTAAAGTTACAGAGACAGCCATATTCTGGAACATCAGAATTCCATAATCTGAAAACTTGACAATATCTTCTCTTGGGGGTTGGTTATGGGGAAAATTCTAAGCCCCACAGAAAGAATTTGGAAATAGGTAACAAAGTTATATTTGCCTTTCTCTGTAGCCCAACAAACCCTGTTCTAGAAATTCATCTCAAATATATATGCATTGCAAAATACAAAAGGATATATACACAAAGGCTTTCATTGTGAAACTATTTTCTGTAGAAAAAGACTTTGAAAAGCCAGGTATCCATGAATGAGCAGTTAGATAACCTATGATACATCCATGTAATGAAATACTGTGCTTCTGTAAAAAGGATTAAAGAGTATGTCTATATCCTGCTTTGAAGTGCTCTCTGGGCTGGTCATTAAGTAAAGAAAATCAAGAAGACTCTATATTATGCTCACTTTTTATCTAAGGAAGTAATTTTTTGGGCTTGTATTAGAAAAATGAAAGGGTAGCTGAAAATAAAAGAAAAAGAATTACTTAGAAAGCAGGGTTTCTCAGCAGCTGCCTCCCTGATATCTTGGCCTGGATAATTCTTTGTTTTGTATCCGTCTTGTGTGTTGCAGGATGGTTAGCAGCAACCCTGGCCTCTGTGAATGCTTGAGGTTGCCCATGCTGTGACAAAGAGGCTTTGCCAAATGTCCGCTAGAGGGCACAACTGTCCTCATTTGAAAACTACAGGGCTTGGTAGAGGTACAGTGGAGGGGCAGAAATGGGTTTTGGACTTCTCCACAAACAACAGTTCCTAAAAATTGCAACCAAAGTGAAGCTAATTTAATTGGTGGCTTAACCACATAGATATTTCAAGTAACTTTGATAATAATAATTTGACTATACATCCCTAGTGATATACTGTAAGGAGAAAAGTATTGCAAATAAGCAACAATGTTTTTCTAGGAATCAGGATTGTTAGTAATGACATTGCTGCTCAGGAACTAAGGCAAAGAGGTAATTATGTTAATATTGTTAAGAACTGGGGCCGGGGATTTAGCTCAGTGGTTCTGCCGCCTGCCTTGCAAGCTCAAGCTCCCCAGTTCGATCCCTGGTACCAAAAACAAAACACAAGAAACAAACTAATAGTATAAGAGAAAATACATATAAATGTAAAACAAAAATTAAGTGAAAACAACTCATTCTAAATTTGTGATGGAAATGTCAACATGAATTGAGATTTATTTCTCTTAAAAAAGTGTTTCCTAGCTGTTTCTGTTGAAAAGCACTTGGACAATGCCCTGTGGTCCCTAAAAAAAAATTTCTTTTCCATGGAAAGAAAATAGAGGTTCTTGCAGAAATGTGTGTTTCCAGGTGTGGGGACAAAAGGAGCCCGAAATATGTTATTGTGCCAGAAAATAAGAAAGTTACGAAGTGCTACTGTGGGTTACTCTCCACGGGACACAGGTGCTGTATTGTTAGGGTCGTCCAGAGGCATAGGCTTGCTAGGGAAACGAGCATATGACTGTGTAAAGGGAGTGCTAGAGAGGTTCAGATCGGAGGATCATAGCCGGAGAGTCCGCAAGGGGGCTCTGCGTACTGCAGCTGCAGACCCAGGAGCTGCTCCGTCAGGAAGCTGGAAGCCGCAGAACAAGACAGGCCCAGGGCGCAGCCCCGGTCCAAGGCCGAAGGCCTAGAGCTTCCTGGAGAGTCGCTGGTGTGTGAGTCACATTGAAAGGCTGAACAAAGGCTGAAGGAGCTGCAGTCGATGTCCATAGCAGCAAAAGATGCACCGGCTCAAGCAAATGGAGCTTTTCAAATGCAAGCTGACTTCCTCCTCCTTCCCCTTGCACCCAGACTGCAAGTCTTAGATGTCCCGCCCACATCAGGGGGGGCACAGACACAGCTAGGACTGCGCTTAACTAATGTGCTAGGGCCTCTTCATCCAGTCAACTAGCAGTCGCCATTCACCATCACAGGTGCAAAATGAAAAAGCCTAAAATAACTGGTTTAAAACACACCAAATACGTTAACTTCATGACTTCACAACCGTCTCAGCCACTTTCTGGTTCCAGGGACAAATACCTGATACCCACAACTTAAAGGATGAGGCCTTATTTTGGTCCACACTTTCAGTTCATAGTGTACTGGCTCCAAAGCAGGACAGCGTGGCTGAGGGGCCTGATGAAAGAGAGCTGCTCCAGGCACGGCGGCCAGGAATCAGAGAGAAGGGAGGAGTCTGGGAGGGACACACACCCTTCCAGACCACGCCCACCCAGGCCACACCCCCAGTGACCACCTCTTCCAACCAGGCTCCACCTTCTAACCAGGCTCCACCTTCTAACCAGGCTCCACCTCCTAACGGCGTATTTAACTGTAAACTCAGCAGTTGACTCCTCCGCCAAGCAGCCTTACGATGCAGTCTCCCCCTAAAAGCCCCACCTCTGAGTACATGGGGCTCTGGGGATCATCTATGGTAGGTATAAACCGTAACAATAATGATATTTAGGTTAAAAAAATCTCATTGCTACCTTTGAAGCATTTTACAGAACCCACTCATTATTCTGAATCTTGGTGAATAAAGAGAAAATATCGAGGATGTTTGCTGTCTTTCCTATCATAAGATCCCTAGAGTAAACATACTCGCAGGAGATAAGGAAATATTTTTCTTTATTGGAGCATTCTAACTAATAAAAAAAGAAAGAATTAGAGTGTTATCTAATACAAGAATAGGTTTATCTGCTATAAACATCGTAATTGAAGGGTTGGGCCAACAACAACTGAAGTCAGAGAAATAACCAGACATTATTTATTTCCTAGTGGAAGTACACAAGCAAGCTGTGAATTAATCTTGTCAAAACATTGACCTGAGTCTGATCAAGCTTCCAAACCTAACTACGCATTTACAGGAAATACATGCAAAAGAGTGGTATATTAGCTGCCACCATCAGCAAAATCCAGAAAGTGTGGAGACCTGCATAAGAATAGCAATCTTGTTTCTTCAGTTAAAAAAATGCAAGGAAGAAAGATGGAGAGGGAAGGCATAAATTAAGAAAGACTCAAGAAACTTGTTAAGCTAATGCAATACGTGGACCTAACTTGGTTCCTGATTCAGACAATCAACTCCAAATACAACATTCATCAAGCAATTGGAGCTATTTATAACAAAATTTTACTTAACTTTTAAATTCTCATGTTTTAATAAAAAGAATGCTTTTCTTCTTATTACTATACTCAAGTATTTATGAGTGAAATGGAGTGTCTGGTATTGGCTTCCTCTAGAATTGGTTGGAGTTTATAGCAGGCGTCAGGCGTAATGTATTTATAATGATTGTACTTCTTGAAAACATGAAAACAAGTTGCTTAATAGGTCATTTTGCCTTTCCTTTATCATCCATTAACATTCTCTTACCTACCTCTACCAAGAAATGCGTATTCTTCATTTATTGAGTCTCTAAAATTATATAAAAACTTTCCACTTGTTTTTAGATCTTCCATATTTTCAGCACATACTGGGCATTAAGCCTTTGTAGAACTATGTTAAAACTTTATGCCACTTCTGTGATGGTTATGTTTAAAATTTCAATTCATCTTATTTTTCTTTTTTTTCTTTCTCAGTGCATATAAAAGCCACAGTTTGAGTATACATTTGACTATGTCCAGTAGTTCCTCTACTGTAATTTATTCCAAAATGAAGTCATTTATTACATGTTTTTTAAAAATCATATTTTCATTACAAATGAATACAACATAGCATGTTAAAGTATTTCTTCAATTCAGTACATGCATATATCAGAAAGGGAAAACACGCACACACAAACACACTCACTATGATTTATCTAAAGCAGAGTTGATTTTTTGACTTTCAGTAGATTCTCGGATAATTGATAACTGCTATGCTGAGTTTGTCACGTGTCAGGGAAGTGTCACACTTTTGTATATGGGACTTTCTCATCATCCCCCTTTCCCTGTCTTCTAAATGCTCTGCAGTAGGTAGGTTGGTACAGCAGGGTTTCTGGAGCAGTAAGTCCCATTCTTGGTGAATCCATGCAGCCACTGTTGAGTTTTCATTTCCAGAAATTTGATTTTCAAGAGAAGCAAAGGGAGAAGCAGCACAGTGTCCCCAGGCCTGCTGGTTTCCTAAGCAGGGCTCCAGGTGGCCCTGGTTAGGTTCCCCCATGTCTGACTGTGCTGTTCCTCACAGCAAGCCAGCAGAAAGGACTACACACTTTGTCTGCCTCACTTCAGAGTTACTTCCTCGCTGTCAGAATTTCAAAAATAATTTATCCCCTCCCTGGGTCTTATTCTGTAACAGCTCAGTGATCTAATTATAGAGTCATTTGGTTGCTTGAGTCAAAACTTTCAGTTGGTTTTAAAAGATTCTAATGGTGCTGGCTCCTTATACTGTTGTGGAGAGGCAGCATAGTAGAATGGACATCACAATGTGTATAAAAATAAATGTGGTATGGTGGGTCTAGAATTTACCAGCAGCATGACTTGCTAGGGTGCCACTATGGTTTCAATTCTAAAAGCCAGAAATGATCATACTTGGAATTCCTGTTAATATCACATGAAATGATACATGCAGAAGTGATTTGCAAACATTTTACATACACATGCAACTCTGTTAGTGCTGTTGCAGTATTAACTATTGAACCTATGGTTATTTAAAAATTATTTCTGTTTTCTTGTTGTTTCCATCTGTGTAGCATCAGGCACTACCTCTGTTAGGTGTTTCCATCTTTAGTCATATTCCACCTGAGAGGCAGGATGCTGGGACTGTCTAGCCTTGGCTTTCTTTTTGTTGTGTGATTCACTGATTGGTTTCTCATTTGTAAAGTTAGGATAATAACACTGATCTCATGAAGTTTTTCCAGAGGATGAAAAAGAAAGGTGAAAGGGCAATCTGGATTACTTGTTTTAGAATCTCTTGAATCCATGCATCCAACTGTAGTAGAAAGTCTCTCTTTGATTTTCATTATTGTAACTTATGTTTTAAAATATGAAGCCATTTTCTCATGCAAATATCTGCTCATGTTTTCTGTCTTTATTGAGTAAAGCTATGACATGCCAACCAGCCCCATTCAGGACTCATCTCTTAATTTGCGTAACTTTAAGTCTTACTGAGTTATCTTTATAAACTGTGGCTCTCATTCCCATAGTATCACCACCTTAGTCAGACACTTGCCCCTTTTACCTGGGTTATTGCAACCACCTTTGTATCACCCCTCAGAAAAACTACGGCATTCATAGCATGACCTGGAAACACCCGCTTTGTGTCCCCAAGACTCCTGCCAAGTCAAGGGGGCATTGTAGTGGACACGAACTGAGATATCTGTGTAAGTATTACCTGGGGGACAGGGGACCCAGGCAGGGCAGCTGGTGTTATCTGCAGAGCTGCCTTCCAGCACTGTGCTAGGTCAGCTGTTCTGTGGGAGGCAATGGAGCAATGCAGGCTCATGGTGTCACTGAGGGTTTATAAACCCTCCCTGCAGCTCCTGTATCGGGGACAGGGCACAGTGGAGGGCTGCAGTCCCCTGACACCTCCAGTTCTCTTTGGCCAGTTCCTCTGCCCCTTGCCACCATGTCTTCTGGTGATGTCCTGTCTGGCTGCCACCACTGGACCCTGTCCAACCTGCTGCCAGGGCACTTTCTGACTGTTGACACATGCATCCTTGGAATCTCTGGCCACTGACATGCCCAGCACATCCTGGCGATCTTCCTGTCCAGCCACCTCCACTGGGTTTTACCCTTTCCTGCTGGTCTCAGTTAACCCTGTCCTTTCCTGCTGACAGTTTTTTTGCTTAAATTCTTTTATTGGTATACTTTAGGTATACAATACATTTACATTTATCCTTGGGTGCTTGCACCTGTACATGATGTATCCTGGTTCTTATTTTTTCCCCATTACCTGTGCGCCCTTCCCTATTTATAAGACTTTGTTTCCATTTTTTCATTTTCTTATAATTTTTCCTTTCCCTTCTTTCCTTTCCCCTTCCCCTCCCACTTTCCCTACCCCTTTGGACCTTTTCTTCCTATTTCAAATTATCAATTATTCATTTTAATTGTTTTAGTCCTTATTTACACTTTCAGTTTCTCACACGAGAGAAACTGCTTGGTATTTACACATGTGTGTCCTATTTATTTCACTTAAGAGTATTGCCTCAATGTGCAGCCATTTAGCTATAAATGTCTCTAATTACTCATTTTTTATGGCTGAGTGGTACTCCATTTTATAAAAAAATCACATTTTTTTAATCCAGTGTCCAGTTGATGGGCATTTGGGCTGCTTCCAAGTTTCAGCTATCACAAACTGTGCTGCTATGAACATGGGTGCACATATATCACTGTGGTATGATTCTTTTAATTCTTTGGGGA